ATAAGCTCGGGCATCTTCCATGTCCATATACCCATGAGCTTTGGCCATCATCTGTTCATAGTTGGCGACCGGCTTCTTGGCAAGTGAGTCAGCCAATTCATTGCTCCCAGTAGGTCATCTACATATGCTTCCAAATTGCGGCTAATCTAGTGCTTAAAGACCTTATTGACAAGCCTCTGATAAGTGCCCCAGCGTTCTTTTATCCAAATGGCATCATTTTCTAGCAATAGGTTCCTTGGTCGGTGATAAAGGAGGTCTTCTCCTGGTCATGCTTTGCCATAAAAATGTGGTTATAGCCGTAGAAGGCATCCATGAAGCTAAGTAATTCATGCCCCGCACTCTCGTTGACCAGCTGATCAATTCGAGGTAGGGGATAGCTATCTTTGGGACAAGCTTTGTTAAAGTTAGCCAAGTCCACACACATTCTTCATTTGTTCTGAGCCTTCTTCACCAACACTATGTTGGTCAGTCATTCCGGATACTGGACTTCCCGGATAAAACCATCTCTAAGGAGACGTTCAAATTCATCAGTGGACGTATTCTGTCTTTCAGGGCCGAGATGCCTCTTCTTCTGTCGCACAGGCTTAGCATGTCGGTCGATAGCCACCTCGTGGCTTATCACTTCAGGGGCATCCCAGGCATATCTTCGGTCCCCCAGGTGAACACATCAGCGTTTTCCTGCAAGAACGTCGTCAACGCTCCCCACAATGGCTCCAATAGGCTAGATCCAATCTTGATCATCCTCTACCCTTTCGGTCAATGGGTATCTCCTATAGGTCTTCCACCGACGTCGTCCTCTGCCGCTCTGTTGCTTTCTCTATCTGGAAGCAGGTCTTCTTAATAGGCAGGGCCTCTTGCACACCCTTTTCCTTGGTCGAGAACATATAACTGAATCTGGCCTCTTGCTGGTTGCTCCTGGTGACCCTGACTCCGTTAGGATTAGGGAACTTTAGCATCTGGTGGTAGGTCGAAGGGATGTCCCACATAAGGTGAAGGGCGGTCCGACCTAATATGATATTATGGGCCGACTTAAGATTCATCACCAGAAATTAGACTTTGACGATGGATTTCCTGGGATACTCTCCGACCGTCAAGGGAAGGGTGATCATACCTTCAGGCAGGAGAGAATGACCAATGAATCTGATGAGGAGGGTGGAGCCACCACTGATCATGTTGATGACCCCTTATGGCTAGGCTCTAGGGGTCGACTATCTTGGCGCTGTTGGGGACGTAGTGACCACGAGTGGGATCTCCTGTCGGTCTCGGCTGGGGTAGCTTCTCTCCTGTCTCTCTTAGAGACAAGCTTTTTCAGGTACCCTCTCTGGATCAGGTCCTTAATGTTTCTCTTTAAGATACAACAACCATTGGTGAGGTGGTCGTGATCTCTGTGGTAGCAGCAATACAGTTGGGTGTCTCGGCTCTGTGGGTCCAACCTCATCTTGGTAGCGGGCTTATTAAGGTGCTCCTCCTTTTGGACCATATCAAGAGCTTCTATGAGGGAGGTGTTGAAGATAGTGAAAGCGGGTCTAGGTGTTGGGTCCGTCCGTCGGTCCCTCCCGTCAGACCGGTTAGAGTGAGCGTCGGCTCTCAGGGGGTCTCTCGGCCACTCCTACCTTGCTGGGAGGGCTTCTACTGACTCTGGTGTTAGAGC